GCGGTGCGCGGCCTGCCTTCCTTCCCCCGCCACTTGCAGCCTCGCTGGCGGTGCTCCCTGCTACAGCGGGGTCCATCTCCGATCTGGCATTACCTATTTAATTTTTTTCTTCCTAGGAAACATGTAGGCGTTGTGGGTTTTTTTCTTGCTTGTGTAACGCAAACTTCCTCCCCTTGTCCGTGATTTTTCTTCTTCCAGCTCAGCCCCCCCTGTGCTTCGCCTCCCTTCTCCCTGCTGCCCGTCTCAGGCTGAGCTGCACCGCAGGGGCTCTGCAACGTGGCTTTTTGGGTGAAACTCTCCTCCACCTGGCCACCCTTGTCCAGGCCTGACCGCTGAGGCTTTTTTCTTTTTTGCAAGGCTATCTGCCACCACTGCCCATGTGGCAGTTCCTGCCCGCTTTTACTTTCCTCCATCTCGGGTGTTTTTCGCTTTGGCCTTGCAGCCTCTTTTATGTTATCAGGCACCCGTGTGCAACTGCTTTCTGCTCGCCATTGAACACGCTCTGCTTGTGCTCCCTGGTTTTCCCAGAGCTTTTCTCCTGTAGCAGTATTTTCCATCACTGAGGTCTTAACGCGCCCTTTTCCTGTACTGTCTTTGTGTTGTCTGAATGCCGTTCTGAGAACCAAATGCACACCTCCAAGGCCCTATCTTAAGCAGTTGCTGCTGCATTTGAGTATTTGTAAACCCCGTTCCTCAGCCTGCGTTCCTCAGGGCTGAGATCATTCACAGTCTACAATTTTGGTCCTCCACAGGTTTGCTATTGTGTTTCAGTTTGCTGTCTCTGATGAGTCTGGTGGGACTAATCTCGTGGTTGTCAGGAACTCGCGTGTCTGGTTCCAAAGACCGTTCTCACCATGCAGAAAGCTAAACAGTCTTTGCAGGGTCTGGACCTGTGTCGCATAGCAGGGTGCAGGAGCAGATTTACGGGGGAAGAAGCCTGGTGTTCCCATCAGTGCTACACATGCTCACTGAGTGACTCAAGAGAGGAGAAGCCGTGTTGCTCCGTGGTCCTGCCCTCATCATCACTGCAACCGAACCCAATGGGACTCCTGGCATCAGTAGAAATACTACTGACCTTGCCATCTCATCCTGTATTTTAATGCCTTTTAAACCAGTTCTTCTCTGGAATATCCTCAATAAACTATTCCCTTTGTTCTCGTTTCTGTAAGACTATGTTAATAATTAATTTATCCTTCTTTATCAATTAATCTTAAGGCTCGCATGTTAGTAATTCCCAGAGCCAAGACTTTGCCAAGGCAGTGCTTTTCATGTGTGTGTAAATTTTATTTGCTCTTATGATATCACTTCACTACACCGGACTGGAGTGTTACTTTGTACAGAAGATTTTGATCACTGTTAAAATTGAGATTTTTGTAATTAGTGAAAGTGAATGACAAACCCGAAATTACTCCATCTGGTGACAGAAGGTCTCAGGAAGGTGACGACTGAAAAGGTGCTGCTGAAGAGCAACCTGTGCCTCCCAGCAGACTAACATCACAGCCAAAAATTAGAGGATGATCAAACAGCTATAAAGGATGGCGGGGGGACCTGCAGAAATTTGGTCTAGCATATCTGTAAAATTGGAACAGTGAATCAGTTTGCTCAGAAGAGAATGGCGGGTTTGGGGGGGAAGCCTGTATTACTGTATCTGAACTAGCAAACCCAGTATCTAATTCAGAAGGAAAGGAACAAAACAGATTCGGGGGAAGGGGGGTTTTGGGGAGGACAGAGTTTGTTCTGAACTAAAATGAAAGCTTATAAATTTATTGCAAGATGAAATTGGCAATGTACCTGCAGCAAAAGGGAACAGAGCTAAGATGAAAAAAAAAACCAAACCTGAATCACTGCAGGCTATTGAAAGTAAAAGCAATAAATACTTCAGCTTCAGATTTATCACAGTCTGCCAGCAATATATGAGAAAGATTTCAGAATTACTAGGCCAACTGGTGATTACAAACATGCAAAATGTTTTAATAGGCTGAAATACTGAAGTGAAGATGAATCATAGAAAGACTATTCCAAGATAGAAGCTGTAGAAAGTGCCGTCCCAGCTGTCAGCCTAGGATTAACTGGGCTGGAGGTATGATCTCATATTCCCTCATGTGAGATTTCGAAGACAAATTATGCTGAAAACCACATCACTGAGTTGTATCAGGAATCAACTGAAGCAGTTCAAGAACTGCAGTTCAAGGGACTCTGTAAGATTTGGTTACATTTCCTGGATCAAACAGCAGACCGTCAAAAAACAAACTTTGCATCAGAGAAAGAGTATTTTAGAATGCTAAAGTAGTATTGGCTTGCTTTCTCCAGTCCTTTTTGTGTAATTGCGTAATGGCAAACATAAACCTAAACCTGGATTTAGTTGTAGCTGAAGAACTTCTGTTGAGAAATTAAATGGATCCAAAACCTGTAGCACTGAAACGGAGCCTGAGCTCAGCAAGTGTCTTTTCAGTTCTGAAAAAGGGTTAAAGTTAGGATGTCAAAACCATCAAAGAATATACATTGCTAAAGCAAAGTTCATTAGCTGCACAGAAGCAGCATAGGAGTGGAAAAAGGCCATTAAAATGGTTACTCGGGAAAATTGTCTCCTAAATTATGTGGAAGTTCAAAGGCAGAAGAATGACAACATTTGCTGTCAAAATGCCAGTGGAAAAGCTCTCCTGAAAGACACAGCCAGTGCTACGTAAGTAATAACAGGGTTTGTTGAGAAGAGATGTTAAGTTAGTATCGTATTCAGGAAACAAATCACAGATCATAAACATAAGTGATCAGGCTAAAGTAAAGTAATATTTGTCTTGATTACCAGTGACCACAAAGAGCACGTTCAATGTATTTTCAGGCAGTAAAGGAAATCTGTCTGATATTCAAAATCTCATTAGGAAATGTTTGCTCAAAAGAATGCGGTATTCAGCACTCAAGAAAGCAGAAGTGTACGGCACATCAGCAGGGCACCACAGGGAATAATAATGTTATCTTTCCTAATGTAGATGCTCCAGGACATAAGAGGAAAAGCACTAAGTTGTTTGGAAAAATATGTGTATATGTTAGTAATTTAATGGAGGAAAGTAGCAGCATTATGGGGTATGGAGCAAAAGTGTTGTGAGAGAGATGAATGGAAAAGAAGCTATCTTTGAAAGTCTAGACATAAGACTCACTGAAGAATTCTTAACTTCTTAAGATATACTAAATATATAAACATTGAATGGGAGCCCAGGAAGATTGAACTTAAGTGCAGTGCTGTTTTCATCTCATATATTACAGTGTTGTAACACATGCCGGTGAGTTGTATGGAGTAATCCATAATAGCCTTCAGTGTCAAGGAAGAGAGAGTGCTCCTCAGCAAACAGTGTCCTTTTCTCACCATGCCTGTAACTCTTAAACTCAGCAACCCAAAATACCTGGGCTTCAAGCCACAACACAAGCCTTTCATGAGCTGTGGGGTGCCTCTCTCTGTTTATAACACCCCGCAGAAGCTGACTAGAGAGTAGTCGGAGAAGTGCTACGTGAAGAATCCCCTGCCTTCACTGAATGTGGTTCAAACAGGCTTTGCCGAAAACTGGGGAGTTCATGTTAATTGAACTGGTAAAGGCTCATCTAGAAAGGCTTTCATGTTAGTCTTAGTTAACAATGAAGATCTTGCTAGAGAATAGGTAAAAGTCAGAAGTCACCATATTCCTCACTGGCTGTGTGTGAAAAAGATGGTACCTTAAATTTACGCACACATGTCAGAGAGTCAAACTAACAGATTATTCCTGTAGACATCCTATAGATAGAATTCAAGAGAACTTGATCATTTAAGCCATGCTCACAGAAATGTTTTGACCCCTGCTCAGACAATTAGTTACAAGTCAGAAACGTTGTTAAGACATGACCCAAAATCAGCACAGTCCCACCCAAGGATGGCACATTTAGCCCAGGATGAATCAGGACTAAATTTACCCCACTTTAGATGTGTAGCTGTCAATGTGCCACCTTTGACTAATGTCTTGGCAGCTGTGAAGATGCGATTCATTCTGGATTTTGCCTTTGGCTTTCTAGGCCTCCTGGTCCAGCTTGGTGCTTGGCAGGAGGTAAGTGGTGAGTGCAGGTGGCCAGAGGTGGGGAGGCTGGACAGGGCGAGGGCCTTCCTCCTTCTGCAGCAGCTATCTGTTATTTCTGCTCAAGCCCTAGCAGGAACCCACCGCCCACTTAGTTGTAGATGGAAAAATCAATCTTCTCTATCTTTGATCACAGTACAGCTTATCCCCAAGGATTTCTAAGTGAATGAAGAGCATACCTGCCGATGTTGCCTGCATTTATGAATG